CTTCTAGTTCATCACCACAGAGGGTAAGTGCAGGCACAGGCTCCTGCCAGTCTTGAACAAGCATTTTACACTTTGATGATGCAAAGCGCATACCATATCTGGATACCTCGATCGCCAAGCGGTTCAGAGCCTCTTGGACTGTCTGTGTGTTGTCACCCAGCAAGGTGATGTCATCGGCATATTCTAAGTCAAGGACTTTGTTCCCTGGGAGGAGTTCGACTCCACCGTTTGTTAGACCGGACAAAGCATTCTGTAGAACATCCTCTATGGCGAAGTTCTAAAGAAATAGGGATATAGGGCAGTCTTGCCGAACTCCACTGGAGACGGCGAAGGGTGGCGAAAGTTGGCCATAAGCCCTAACCCGACCTGAGGTATAATGATACAACTCTTTGAGGATTGACACTTCTCAAGTGCTCCATTCCTCAGCAATCAGTTCCATAGTGTGGTCCCATCGACAGAGTCGAAGGGTCTGTTGTGACAGACCATGGGACGCGTGCCGGAATAGCTGTGTGAGGAGCTGACGCTGGTGGCCAGCTAAACTGTGCTTTGAAGTGCTCTACCCAGCGTGCAAAAACTCGCTGTTGATTAAGAATGGGCGAACCGTCAGCTTCGCAGATCGTTTCGCTCACTTTCCTACCGATGACCCGGATGAGATGGATCAGCTTAGGGGAATTTGCCATGGCGGCAGCACGTTCCATATCTGACGCGCGTTGAGACCGCCAGATCTCGCCATCTCTGCGTAGCCTTACGTTGAGGTTGCGACTCGTTGCTCGTCGAATTTCATTATGCTAACTGCCGGTCGGGATTGATCGGCGTGCGTCGAGAATACGCGGAAATCCAGGGTGTCACGACACGACGTGTCAGACCATAACTAACTAAGCCAACAGAATGCAGAGCATTCTTGATGATCGACCAGTGCTGGTTAACGTCATCGAGTGGGGGTTGATTCTAGCTTTTCAGTTGAAGCGTGCTGGTTCAGACAACTTTTCACAGTCAAACCGTCGATGTATCATGCGTTTGGAACGCCCACCGAAGCACATGGACCGCTTGGCGCAACCTGACGCGTGGTCGGATTCGAGGAGAGTGCTTCAATAGGATCGGCAGTATTGTATACAACCCCACCATTTGTAGCTTATAGCGATGTGGTCGACCTGCGTCCGACTCGGACTCGAGGAGGGCGGAGGCCAAGTGGTGTACCGGGAGTTGGAGCGTCTGGAGTTCGTATTGGCGAGAAATAAGCGATGGTCGGAACAAACAGCCAACACCCGTTCCCCGTTTTCCGAGCGATAGTAATCTAGTGGGAAAGGACCACCCAGATGCGCCTCGCTCGAAGTCAGGCGACGTACTCCAGTATTCATATCTCTTGCTAAAATCACGATATCAGCCCGACTCACTTTACATAAGAAGTCGTGTAGGTTGTGATAAAATTCATCTTTGACTGCAACTAGGCACCAGTCCGTTGGGGCGTACGCAGACACGACAAACAGGTTTCGTCTATCGTGGCGACGGCTGCTTACCTTGCACGAACCTGAGTCTCACTGCGCACAACCTACTGTCCACTGGGAACCAGTCCAGGAGCGCGGCTCTCTTACTGAGAGCCACACCAACGCCAGAAAGACCGGAAGCCGCAGACACTCAGGGTCCCCGGAGAGGCGTAAGTGAAACTTCACTGATGGGTTTGATGGGGATTTCAATCGGATAATGGAGCTGGAGTCTTGAATGCGAGTCTCTTGGATACCATAATACAATACAATCTTTGTAAGTATTCTATCCCTATTTCAACTGACACAACTGTCCAGCGAGCGATATTTTAATGCATCTGTCAATAGAAGGCTGAAAATATGCAATAGATTACACTGTTTGACCTTCGTTCACAAACCACATGTGTTCTGAGACTGGCTCGTTGACATATCATGGAGCATTGCCCAAGACAAGCTGTGTAATTTACTCCGCCCACTAAATGAGCTATGACATGCACTTCGTCACGATTGTTTATTGAATGCACCAAGAGCCTTTGGCATTTTTCAGAAAAACTACAGAATAAAACTGACCCCCCTTTTGGCCAAATTAGTATACAAACTGCAGATGGTGACACAAGACGTAAGCGCGTCAAATTTAATGATCCCACACACAGGTTTTCGTGATAAAGGGCGGAAAAACAAGGGTGCACTGAAAGCCCTTCATACGTTGAAGTTGGCTTTGAGGCAAATGGATAATGTCAATTCATGTTACCGATAACAGATGTTCGCAAGAGGGATGGGATATGGGCCACGATCACAAAAAAAACGAAAGCTAATTAAGCTACTAACAAGTAGTAGCAAACGCATTTTGTATTTTAGCGTTTCTACCGCACAACAAACATGATCAAAATGGTCGAGGAAGATAACCGTGATGAAACAAATCAACTCTAAATTTAATTTCGAACGAAAAAGAGAATAATCACAGTTATTCGTATTCCAAAGCTCCAATAATTAACCTAATACGGTTAATCACTGATGGTAGAATTAGTGCATCACTCATCAAAGACAGTTTACTCACGGGCAGTGATGTCGTAGTATTGGTCGTCCCTGTCGATCTACCAGAATCCCGATAAGCTTCCGCATATCGACGCCTTTGGCTATTCGGTGCTGGAGACTGTGCGGGGATAACAGGTGTCCGGAAGGTCGAAACTTCCTGACTGCTTTCCGCAAATTTTAGCACATGCTAGGGACGAATAGAAACGAGAATCTTTGCAGCATGAAGTGAAAATTAGGTGGTAAAAAGAAGTCTCCCATTGAAATGATAGGCAAGATAAATTATCGATAGTCCGAAGATGTTGTGTTAGTGGGCCAACTACTGATATGCCGCCGGATCACACAACACATTAGTTTAATATGACCCAAAGGCAGAATAGATTTGTTTAAAGCAGTCTGTATGTTATGCATTCGAACCTTAATTACAAAAATCCCAGTGAGAAGAGTAATGAGGGGGTGAATAATGACTCACCATAGTTTCATCATAATCTTCGACAGACTGGTGGACGCAGACCAATATGACAACGCGGCCATTACCCTCGAAGAAATTTTTGAACAGATGGGTAAGTCGCTTATCCCGATAAGGTACCACACGAGTAGTGCCTCCAGGTGTGGCCAAGCCCTGAGCCCATTGTCCAGTACGTTGGATTTCTCGCAGCATTTCAATACATTTACGCAAATTCATGAGAGAGCTATTGATACTTGCTGAAAACAGAATACGTGGAACGCAGAAGATAGTCTGAGTTGCTAAGCACACGGAAGATGTAAACAAAATGAAACAGTAGCCCAAGTGGTGATAACAATCTAACTTAAAACAAGTTTGTTCGTGTCAGAAACAGATAGACTGACAATGACCGGGTCTAAGCTGAAATAAAACTGATAGAAATGCTAGAAATGACGGGGAAAAACTTTTCATTTATATGAGTGTTGTTGTTGCAAAGAAAATAAATAACTGCAGGGCCGAATAGTATTTTGGTACTCAAGAGAAACTACATTTTTGGGGATCGAATGTTCAAAAAGTTCAAAAAAAATCGAATCAACCAAGTTTGATTAACAAATAGCCAGGGAGACAAGAAGCACAACTTGACCGTACAAACAACATTGTATCACCTACGGCTGAAATCTGATTGTGAAGTTGAGTTCAACAGTCAACTGGAACATGAAAGAATGACTAAATATTTTTCTATGCGAAAGGTGCCTGCAAATGTTTTGCACAATATTCATGAACTAGGGTTGTTATACTCAAGGACGATATCACTATGGACTAGTTGGTCAATCAGGGCCTAGCCAAGGACTGAGCATGACAATGGTCATAGATTGAACTAATCACTGAGTCACTGAATGAAGTGTAGACGTTAAGTGGAGCGCTCTTATCGTTGAGTTCATTCGTACAATATTTAGAAATAAATTTGGATTATCACGGTACATCAGGTGGAACACTTACATGCCTCCTTTAATCGATCACCTTGAGTACCGGCACGATGAGCACGCTCGGAACCAGCCAAATCGACCAAACACAGTTGACTGATCACGAGAAGATTTTTGTCCTGTGCAATCAAATCAGAAACTTTAGTGAATGAGATAAGAGACAAAGAGGCCTGTAGCACTGAGAAAGTGCACGGCACTGGGGAACCAAAACTCAGTCATTCTGACGATATTCTCTCTTAATTATTTGCTTCGACCCGACAGAACTTCGGTCTCATACACCTCCTTATACTATTGATATAAGTTACAGGCGCAATAACCGTATTGGGCTATGCAAAATATCACGACAATGATAAAAACACGTCGACTATTCACCGATTGTGTGAGTTACATTCCAGAGATCCGGCAGAGGTGAAAATCTCCTGATTTTATTCATATTTTAATGCCTTTTTAAATGCCACCCACACTCCTATAACCTTTTCCAACTCTCTCATGCGCATAAGATTTGATCTAAAACACTTTTGTATTCAAAAACACATGGGCAATATTCGTTGAAGTAGACAACAACTTAACTGATGCGGATTATGCATTGTGTAGCTATACAGTACTGTTTATGTTGATGACGGTAGGGTGAATGTCCTGCTTAGCCAAGAAGAGCATTGCAGCTTTTACGAAGGTGGTACAATATCTACGGTCTGAGTGGTAACTTTGATTTCGTTAAAGTAACTGATCTATGTAGCCCCAGTGACGAGTATAATTATGGAGAACCGCTGACGCTGTTTGCACCACATTATGCATGCTTTCGTTGACGAAAAAATACGTTGTATTTTCTTGTTCGACTTAAAATCCCTTGAATGTTTGAATTTTTTTATGATTAGGTGAAAGTATTGAAAACTACACATGGTGTATCAATAAGCATCTACTGTAAAATTCTACGATGGAGCTCAAGTTCCATCAAATGAAACTAGATACATTATAAAAATAAACCGTCGCAATATAGCGAGGAACAACTGTACACAAATTTGTAAGTTACATGTTCTTGGTACACGGGCAGAAAAAAACAGCCTGGCCGTTGTATTTCGGTTATCCATTAGCTGGAATCATGAAGAGTAGAATTGGGTAAAACTCAGGCAATACTAACAACACAAAGACAAAATGTGCTTAAACTGGATGTTTGTAGGAAGTGAACGAATGTTCCGGTGAAACTATTCTCGACATTCAACTACTTCACCTAATTCTAAAACCAAACATGAAACTGATAAAGGCTGAGTCGATTGACAGCGTTAAAAAAGTTACGGATATGCTAAGCAGAGATTAAAAAATATCAGGCAAGGATGGATTGCCCAAGTCACTTTGAACTACATAAAGGAATCCTAAACCAACCTGACCTCACGTTGTTGCCGCCTTCCGGTGAATACAACCGAGAAGCCAAGTAGGCGACGGTTTTGAGATTTTAATGAAATAGAATGTAAGGACACAGAACATAACTACTTATGACGCACTGGGGTTCCCTAATGTTGTCCACCACTGGAGGAGCCGGTTTCATGTATCCCAATTTAAATGACGAAGTCTCACGGTCTAATCTGAGTGGTGTGACCATGTAGTGGCAGTCTCTAACTCTCTCTAACCACTGTTGTTTCAGCGAACGTGAAACATCGAGGCGGTCTACTCTCATAAATGCATAACACACACCTCAGTCAACGTAGCGTGCAAAGCGAACCCTTGGCAAAATGTTTGACCGCAATTGTCCGATACCGTATATTAAGCCAGACCCGAGTAATGCGAATGCTGCCTTTGCCACTTGCCTACACACCCGGGTAGGACGCGTCCTGAGAGGTGAGATACGTACTATATACCGACCCGTAGACTTCACAGACGTTGGGATCCTGGACCAGCACTGGGCCATCCGAAAGGCGTATGGACCGGTTACTAATTATTCTACCGTTACCCTGCAGGTCGCACTTGATTGTGCAAGGGTTAGAGGTACATCCTCGAACAAAATCCGAGCGGCGTCGGTGATGTCGCTTAGTACCGCATTCCCAAGTTTCTTCATGGATTGTCTTAAAACGCTACATGGAGTTCATACTATGGCATTCCCGAGAAGCGACGTACCCTGCTCTCTCTCTCTCTCAGTGGCTGAGGTGACAAATGAGCAACCTAAACCATCTGCACACCAGATCCAGCATCTACGAAGCTTGTTGGAATGTAAGCAGAATGATAGATATAAAAAGCCAGTGCATTACAATGCGTTCAACGCGCGACTAAAAAGTAGACATCTGAATTCTGTCCGAAGTCCGATTGTCTAACTGTGGCACAAAACAAATCAAAGTACCACGGCGACGCAACCTACCGGTTATACTACAGCGGAGAAACGAACAGCTTTGGTTTGCACGGAGTAGCAATCGCCGTGAACAACCAGGCCAACAATGCTATGATCTCCTGGGAACCAAACTCTCACACGATTATCATCGCGCGCTTCAGGAGTAAGCCGTTGAGTGTAACTGCCATCGTTGGCTATGCTCCAACGTTGCATGTAGAAGCGCCCATCACAGACAACTTTTATAACCAAGTTCAAGACACAGTGAACCGCAGTCCGAGACGCTATATGCTCCTTATCGCATAAAAATACAATGCACGCACCGTTCCGTCAGAAGAGCATACTGGGCATACCCTGGGGAAATTCAGTTTTGGTCTACGTTGAGAAAATGGCGAACGTCTAGTCATTTGCTGACCTTAACCGCCTGGTCGTGGTCAACACCCCAGAAAACACCTACTTACGTAATACTCCAATGACGGTCGTATGGCACATCAGATTGATTACATTTTGGTACGTGCTCGCTGGGCCTCTTCGGTGGAAGACTGCAGTTCTTATGGCGGCGCAGAAACTGGAACGGCACGGACCATATCCTTGTACGCGCCCACTTCAAGATCCAACTGACTGCTTGTCAGAGGACTCGTCTTACAGGCAAATTTACCGTCACTCTCTTGGAACTACCTGAGGAAAGGCTGGCGCTGCTGGACGCAACCGCCTCCAATATAGCCGCAACTTCCCTCGATGATTAGACTGTTGACGAAGTGGTCCACACTGAAAACGTCCATCAGAGAAGCGGCGCTAGGACAGTTAGGTAAGATTCATCGCCACAAAAGCGGCGGGATCTCCGAGGGTACACTGCAGTTGTCCGCAAGGGCAAAGAAGACAGGGCTGATCGATTCTCCTGAATTCCGTATTCTACGTCGCCAAGCCGCACGCTCCGCCCAGAGGGGCCGTAAACAATACTGGAAGGTGATAGCAGACAGCATGGAGACTGCAACTGTCGCATCGGACTTTGCAAAGCTAATTCGACTGATCCGTATCGCAGCAGGAAAGAGACAGATATCGGAACCACTGTTGCGCAACACCACGAGCCAACTTATTCAGGGAAATGAACAGAAAATGCAAAGGTGGGTGGAACACTTCGACGGGTTGCTCAACTGCCGATCAAACCAACCTGCTTGTCCACAGGTACCAAGCAGTTCGGAGACCTACGACCTCAATTGTAACTCACCTAATAGGACAGAAAGCGCCAATGCAATAACTTTTCCGAAAAGCAGAAAGGCCCCTGGAGAAAACGGGATACCACTAGAGCTATGCAAAGCTTGCCTATTAACTCTCATCAATACGCTGCACTTTATCTTCCAGCCCATTTGGGAAAGAGAAGTTTTCCCCCAACGGTTGGGCTGTAGCCCCGATACCGTGCCGTGGATGGCGTTGCCGAGTTAGTGATTAAGTGAAGATCTGGAGCAGTACGACCAAGGTGGATTTGGAATTACTAGGCCTCCAATCCGTACACGGAATTCGTAACGGGAACCAGAACTGAGTCTTGGATTGCGCCAACCTTGCCATCGATCGTCACACATGGGCTATCCTCAATAGAGACATCCAAAAAGTCGACTTATCTTCCGCTGGCTCGAAAGTAAGAATGTCATAGTATTCAAAAATCAATATTTTTGTTCATCTCAAAGACGCAACCCGTATCAAACAACCAAACTGGCCGAATACACAAAGTACACACAGTACAGTAGACAGAGTGCACCCCACAATCGTGAAGACTAGCTGTTTAGCGATGGAAACCGATAACCTAAGCCCCTGGACTTCGAGTGGCAACCCACGTAAAGCCCCGCTAGATTAGGTGTGATACTGAACCGGATGACAGCAAAGCTGTCTGCCACCAAGTTGGATGGTGGTGGCGGGGTTCCAAACTCGAACTAAAGGGTTCAAAGCACGCCGATGACAGCTATTAAACCACTGCACCACAAACTTGAAGGACAGTTCGACGTCACGTTAGTTTCAGTCTGAAGAACCATTGATTGAATTGCTGTCTGATCAAAAAACCACGAGCAAACCGATGATTGTAAAGAAAAAACATAGTTCTACCACGATGCCCAGGTGCCATCATTTTTTCCACTCAGTCACACAACTAAAAACCCATGCCTTGCATCAACAAGATTGATTGTAAGGTATCTGAGAGACTCCGTATGGCCAGGGGTAGGTGGCTTGGGTAATGACTGATCATCCTCCCCCCGTATCTCGCGAAATGTCACCATATGAACCACTTCACATAGTCCCTGTTGAAGTAGCCCTGTTTTTACTGCCTTCATGTGTTGGATGTTTTTCCCACCAAAGTGAAAGGACGAAAAGCTGACATTCAAGGCTGTAACCGGATCAGCGGTAGTTCGCCTAATTGAGTGGGTAAAATGCTCTGATTCCAAATGAACCAAGAAGAGGCATACGAATTACACAAGCCTTCCCGGTTGTGGTAGTGGTCACCGGCATGATTGACTATCGAAGTGTACCTGGCAAATTAGATGTTTAACTCCGTCCGAAGAGGGTATAATCTGATGAAGTGGACACCGGCCCCAAATGGACTGCGGCAACTGAGCTCCATCCTGCGGAGGTAGAGTGCGATTTTCGACGTTTAACGGAAATGTAATCATGTACTCCAAGAAAAGTTAGACGAGTAAAAATTCGAACTTCCACTGTTTGATTATTCCATTCTGTAGAATCAGTAAAACAGCAAGTGAACGTGCCGGCATTATTATGTCATATTACCGTCACCCATTTGGTGAGCCAAAGATGAAGGATAAGAAATAGGACGTAAAACAAACCTCAATGGCCTCATCATATTTCTCGTCATAGCCTGTTCGAACCAACCGAATCGTGAAAATGCAGTGACTTCGACTGGATTCACTATTCAAAGCTGTTTGGCCGATACGCCGACGTTTCAGACCTTAAAAGAATGATAAAGTAAAACAGATTAGAGTCGAACAAGAGATTGAGTCAATGCGAAGAATCAGGTTGTCAAACTGAGACAACCGCAGCACAAAAACGCAGTAGACAACAGAGGCCATAATTACATCTTAATACAGACGTTCCTGAGAAGGTAATCAGATCAGCCGACAATACCGGTGGACAGTATTCGGGGCTAAAGGAGAAGCCCCACTCAATAAAATAAAATGGCGAGTGACTCTCGCGTACGCAAGTGATGAGACAGTTTTGAGACTCGCTCTAAAGTGAGCATGGGCGTGTGTTTATTTTAGTGTTTACGACTCTGACACGATTACTTAGGGTTGTTCGAGTAAAGCACATTGTGAATTTACAGAAAATGGAACGTCTTCCGAACTTGAGTACTTGTTACAAATGAGTAGCGGAGGATTTGCTCCTATATGATGACCACTTTCGTCATTTATAGTGCAAAGGAAACGTGAACTCATCTTGCTATTTGCATGAAAAAACAAGATACTTTTAATTCAGAACACAACTGTTTTATTCTTATCAGTTGAACAATGATGCCAACTAATTCTAAGTAAATTTCCAAACGGGCTTGGAGAGATACGGAGGCGATCCTAGTCCTGAAGGCTACTGTTGAGATGGGTGAGATCTGATGATCGAGACTAGCGTGTAAAGGAGGACTGTGATATAACGCATAAAGACAAGATGGGAAACAGTTTGATCAGCTGACTGATGGTTAATAGGATATTTCGCTTTCCAGTTGCGAGTTGCTACCAGGTTCTATTACCAGTTGGTTCGATGAAACCCAGAAATATCGAAACAGCTGTACATCATTGCTTTTCAGTTAATGATTCGTTGGCTATTTAAGTGACGGAATTTCCTATAAATTTAGTTATATACTTGCACAGTCAAGGGACCTATCTGTTGGCATTAAAAGGCACTATAAAATAATAAGAACAGATATTAAGTCACCTGTGGTGAATACTTGGAGTGCATCGTCTGCTGTCTTTACTTCTACTTCAATTGATCCCGAAACGTAGACATTCCTGTGCGCATCTTCTCGCAGTATATGACTGGTCAGAGCCCTAGACAAGAGTCAATTGAAGCATTTATAACAAACCATCCCGGAGCATCGGAAGCTTCTTGTAGAAGGTCGTAAACATTGTTATTATAAACTTCCACGAGGGAAATGAAGACGGCGAACAACGCTTTTGATGCGACAGGCAGGGTAACTGAACAACCGATACGAGGAGCAAGTGTAGTCGAATTAACATTGGACCTAAAATTTTTATATATAAGAAAAAAAATTATTGTACCTAGGTAGACGGAGTCGCTGCTGATAATCCAATCGATGCCGATCCATAATAGCATCCGATTCTGATTGAAGCTCGAAACCGTTTAGGCCATCCGGTTTAACCACCTACAGCATAGATAAAAGAAATTGGACTTACATATTTCTTCGTTTGCTTGTCACCAATGGAGTTAAAAATCACATCTAGTGCTAATGGCAGTATTCCGGCTTCTTTTTTATTACCCTGTAAGGCATATGTTTTGCCACTCCCGGTGACACCGTAGGTCAACAGAAGACCTGAAAAAAATAACTAGGAGAAAAACAACGAACTATCTACCATTTTTGCCATCGATGAAATCAGAGACAAGTGGAAGGCCCACATTCTGGNNNAATTTCTTCCTGTCCGATATCATCATTGAACACAGCGGTAAAAGTGTGCAACGTCTATCAAGGTATTATTTTAAAAATGATTATAATTACCTGCTTCTGTGCACCAATGCGAGACCCTGTCGCTTTTATGGTGTGCTCATCAATAATTTCCAAGCAAGACGGTGTATTTTTCTTTTTTGGCTTAACCCTACAAAAAACCTGAACTGCCTGAAGGTCACTGGAAGAACGCCTTGGACAACGTCTGGGAGTCCTCATTATCCGGTCTAAAATTAAATTAAAGCAACCGGGAATCAAACTGAAATTCATGGCACACAAGTAAGCTATCATACACAATAACAGAAAAAGTTTTCGCTGCACTTGTTACAAACCCACCTTTAGCATTTTCCAACAGTCTTATTTGACCAACCAATTATTTCGGGAAACCGCACACAGAGTTTATCTGGTAACGTCTGTGTCGAATGCCCCAACCATCATTATCTATAGAGGCCATCACGACGAGACCGCATCTTGATGTGATGTGGCTTGTGCACCTCTCTGATCCAACGAGCTAGACAGGATGGCTTTTGTCAGAGTGAAGGTTTAATCATGCCTGAAAGGTCGAAGGGTAAAGGTCAGATGAAATCTAGTCTCCAGATCCTCCCAGTTGGGGTCCGACTAGAACTTGCGTTCCAGTCGGTAAAAAATGAGGGAGTAATCTATCCAAGCAAATGGGCCTCCACTTCACTTTACCAGCTGTCTTGCGGTTAGGTTCTTGTCAGAACTAGAGGCTTTGATTGAGAACCCTAATCGTTCTCCTGCTTAGTGGCAGGACACCCTAGCAGTACCCGTTCATAAACCCCAATGCATACACAAACCATTAAGAATTCCATACAGTATCGGTCGTAGCACAGGATAATCAAGACAGCGCTGTCCATTGCACAGAACGGGGTTAGTAGTGATAAGTGGACTATTGCTTAGATATCCCAATTTTTGTTCAATACTCTGTGTTCTGTACCCAGGTCTCTCTTTTTGTTCCTTCTTTCGGCCTGTAACAGTCCCGCAAGCAACTTTGTTGTCGCTTATCAAAGGTCAAACAGCACTGTAAGTGGTTGACAACTGATGAAATTGCAGAAGCCTCGTGAATCACTCAATATGGAGGCTTACAACCTGAGAACGCTGATAAAGACGGGTCAACAAGCTTGTCTGGCGCGTACAATGGAATCCTTAGGGACCTTTGCGTATCGGAGACGTGAAATAAAGATCCTACCACCATAAGCCACATAGGTGCGCCAGATTTGTCATGGAGATACGTTATTCGTACATCAAGTGACGACGAAGCCTGCACATTAGGTCAGTGCGGGGTAGGTATTGTACTCAGTGACAGGCTCGAATCCCGGATCCCCGTCAACAGTCCTTTATGTGCGATACGTCTCCAGGGTTCAATCAGCGTCCAGAAGGGAAGCAACATTAAATAAATAAAACAACCGTCTTTTTACTTCCTTTTTTTTATTTATAGAATATACAAATGTACAGTCAACTTTTCAGGAAGGGAGCTGCGGCCATACAAAGGCTAATTGGGAGAAATACAGAAATAGGGAGGGCGGGGGGCGGTGGAGCGACTCGAACCCGAGACTTTCGGGTCATAAGTTGGTGACCCAACCACTTCCCGCCCAAAGGTGTTTGTTAATCATATCGGTATAAACACCGATCAACGGCAGCACTGACGCACAAAAAGAGTAGTTCTATTCACCCAACACCTTCGGTTGAGTCGAAGCTCTGACAGCGATATTTGCAGGTGATTTTAACGCGCGTTGAGTCTGACCACGCATTAACTTTGATGCACTTTACTCTCGGACTCACTGATCAGCGACAAAATCAAACAAATTCGGTTAGCTCATCGTTGCCTGTGTGTCCCAACAGTACATGCACGCTGAGTCAGAGCTGGTGCTTGAGCTAAGTTCTGCTTTATGGTTGTGAGGCCTTGAATCTGCTAGTAGAAGATATCCGTCGACTAGAAATTTTGACTATCGGTGTTTACGCAGTTTAGCCCACGTTGGATGGAGCGAACGGGTTAGTAACGTGGAGATAAGCCGTCGTGTTTGGCAGTCTATCAGGTATAAACCTGCTAGCACACCGAATTCAGATTAGTAGGCTTCGCTGGCTAGGGCACGTATTGCGTATGCCCAGCCATCGTCTACCGCACCGGGCTTTATTCGCTGTAGCTNCGGGTTAGTAACGTGAAGGTAAGCCGTCGTGTGTTTGGGAGTCTGTCAGGCATAAACCTGCTGGCACATCGAATTCAGATTAGTAGGCTTCGCTGGCTAGGGCACGTATTGCGTATGCCCAGCCATCGTCTACCGCACCGGGCTTTATTCGCTGTAGCTAATCCGGGCTGGAGGAAACCACGTGGAGGTCAACAGATGACGTGGAGACGAGGCATGAAGAAATGCACAGAGCCATTGGGTAGAGTAGGTCTCGCGCCTTCCAGGTTGGGTTCTGAAAGGCTCCACAACTGGTTGGTTGGAGACATTGAAGGATTTGCAGCGAACCGGCAGCAGTGGCGTTCTTGTTGTCGTTTCTTATCAGGTCAGAATGCTTGAAACGGTATGTATGCAGAGTCCGATTGCGTATTCTGTGTGTTGGCCATAGTGGTTCACCTCTCCTCCTCAAAATAGATCCAATCCCTGTCCACCTTAAATTTTACCACTATACTTGTATCCATTGCGAAGTTCGCTTCACTGTATTTCGCTGTTCGATGATGATGATGGTACCTTCGAGCAAGGTTAGTGGCACTGATATACTCCCAGTTGGCAGTGTAACGTTTTACGAATCAAGCAAACGAGAGCAGAACAGAGAAGACTCGGAGTCGGAATTATACGCTTTACTCAACTAATAAATCCGGTACATTAGCTGTAATAGAAAGAGAGAGGTTTAAGTAATACGCAATATAAGAGGGTGTATAAACAAGATAACCAGAATATGACATTCACCCCGGCTGGGAAACGACCGTTTATTGAAGGTGAAACACTTCGAAAACGTTTTGTAGTGAAAAACAGCACTAAGTTCTGTTTCACGCATCTCTATTTCGTAAGTTGTAAGGGCGTATTCTCTGCTGTTGTTCTAGTATATCGGTATATGAGTGGGGTGTGAGCGTTGTCGGTGGAGGGATGCATTCTTCATCAAGGTCAAGGAGTTCGGGTAAGGTGTCGGATTCTGTCGGAGGGACAATGTTAAGCGGTGCGGGTGTAGGGTCTGTTGATGCTAGGACTTTGGGTGTCAATATCGGTGGGTCACCCCGGAAGTGGGGCAAAC